TGTCTCTTTCTCAACTGTTTTGTGTCTCTTGGTATTTCTTTCGATTAATTTTGTGTCTTTGCTCCTTTTTTCTTTTATTTATTTTTTACTCTGCATTTGTTTTTGTTCATTTTGCATCTATTCCAGTCACTTTCAACCTTTCCTTTGATTATTTTGTGTGTCTTTGTGGCAATTTTGCATTTATTTGAGTTCAATTTGAATCCTTTTATTAATTGTTCTGGGTTTGTTTGTGATCATTTTGCATCTCGTAGACCTTCAGAGTGTCTCAGAGGTGACTTTTATCTGCGTTCGCACTGAATTACTGTCTGTTTGTCTTCATTTTCCATCTGTTTCTGTTTTGTTCTGCGTCTCTGTGGTCGATTTGCGTCTTTATCTGGTCTTTGGCGCCATTTTTTTGGATCTTGGGGTGTGTTTTGAGTCATTTTATGCGTCTTTGCTGATGTTTTGTATGTTTAGCATGATGTCAGTTAGTTTGGGGTCGACCGAGAAGTCTCCAGTTCAAAGTAAATACGAGATTATAGATCAATTCTGCAAGTTCTGTTGATGTGGATGTTTTTTTTTCTTATGAAAGTAACACCAGAGGTTGTCTGACTAATGAGAATTCCACTGATTAAAGGAAAATTAACCAACGAACTGACCTGATGCTCAAATACAAACATAAGAATAATGAGCCAAAAGGAAGTAAATATGAATATATGACACATACGACCAACATCTGAAAAAAAAAAAAATCACAGGAAGAAGGTTGGTGGTCTGTGATGCTCCGCTTAAACCAACTTTCCATTTCACACTTTCCATCAAACCAACATTTCAGTATATTTCCTAGTTGCATAATTTCCTTCCAGAGAAGCTTGTGTATATTTTTAATATTTTGTAGGAGTTCAGTACATCTGCCCAACATGGAACCAGAGTTGTTGAGATTATCTCGTTGGGTTTGATTTGCTTCAACTTAACGTTATAAAAAGCTGTTTATTTATTTTTTTATTTTTCATATTAAATAGTTTTTACGCTGGTTTCTGACATCCGCTGACTGAACCCTGTTTTAATGGGTATATCTTTATGAAATTTGTTCGAGTAACTTTTCACACATTCACACGTATGCCGTCATGTGTTCACACCTGTGGTTTGACTCTGCTCACTCGAACCGAAACCTGTGGGTTTTAACGGAGGGGTGGGGGGTTGAATTTCTGCTGCAGTCAGCTTCTGTGGGTTTGTGCATCTCTGTTCATCAATCTGCACAACCTCATGAGCAATGACTCACAAGCAAAAGAACACTGGTTTTGCTTTTTAATATTTTAAGTGCAAAGTCGGTTCATGAATCCAACGCCGCGACGGTCACAGCAAAGCATTCACATCTAGAGTCAGACTCATGGTTCAGATGGAAATAAAAAACAAAGAGCCATATGGAAGCATTAATCACATTCATCACTAACCAAACCAGATTATAAACGCTGCTGGAATGAGTGGAATTCATACATGATCCTATAAAACATTTAAAACACCTTGCGAGTTTCGTCTACATGTCTGTGAGAAATGTGGTCACCCTCTGCCCCAGTTAAGTGGCGATACGGTGGTTTGTTCAGCCAGCAGACGACCTTATTTGAATTTTATAGATCAAAACACTGACAAACCACGTTGGTCTGTCCAGATGTCACCTGCTCCACCTTCACAATGTGGGTTTACAAGATCTAACACCTCAAAAGCAACACTTAAAATCTAGTCTAGCCGACTGGTGCCGACTAACGTGGAGTCAGCAAGTTACACCGGTAGAATGATGCCATCGTAGCTGGAAATACCAGTGACTGAATGAGAGGTGTCGTGATACCAGAGGTAGGTTTGGTGGTCGGTACCGATCCGACCAATCTCACAGCAAAAATGAATGTATTTCAAAAAGGGTTGCAAATTTTAAAAAAAACCCATACCCAGCTACATCAGCATAAGTCGATAAACTATGACAGCAAATGAAGCATAATGGAGGTTTTTCATCTACTGATGAAGCTGTTGTACCCATTGATACTTAACAGTAAGCATTCGGCTACAGTAAGACTCCTAATTAACTTCAGCTGGTGTATGATATGTGAGTTCTGGCTGGATGTCATCAACCACGACAGACGTCTTTGTTGGCTCGTTGCTAGCTAAACCGCTACCGTGCTAGGGCTGCGTAGCCGTTGTACGCTAATTTAACTGAATACTAGTGCTGATAGTTTAAAGTCAACTAACTGGGGACATCTTTCTAAAGAGACCTGTGATTGGACGCCAGAACTTTGGTAGTCAGAAACCGACTGGGTTTGTAAACTGTTTTTTGCGACATGTAGTTGGCCGCGTCATCAATAAGTGACTGATTTATTGTTAAAACAAAGTACAATGGAAGTGTTTCTATGTCCTGATAAATATATTTATAACCCTGCACACTTAACATTTACCACAAAACTGGCTTGTTTACTTTAGAAACTCCACTCTACCAACGTCATCCAGGAAATCTTAACACGTTTCCAATATGTACACTGGCCAAATGGTCATGAAGCATCACAGAAGTCTTTGTCATGGTCCTGTTGCTAGCTACACCTCTGTAGTGCTTGCCAACATGAGCTGCCCTCTGGTCTCTACAGTATTAAACCGTAAGAGGCTCCACCTGGTGGAACAACCAGGTACTACAATACATTTTCTGTCATGCATACCTCTCATCGTCTGCCTTATTGGTGAATACAATAATAAATATTAATGTTATCTTTAACATGATCTCTGTTTTTTGGGGGTTTTTTTTGTTTTTTTTAAAGAACTTTCAAGTAACAACAAACACTAAAGTTGTTTAAAACAGCTTCAACTTGAATTCTGTGTTCAGATCCGGATGTTGCTTCGATCACTTTGTGATGCTTCTTCTTGTAGTTTAATCGTAGCAACTGACTCGTTTGAGTTCCTTGAAGACGTTCCACCTCTCATCCAAGAGGCTTCATCAGGTCTGACGGACTAGTTGGGAGTTCCACATACTGATATCCTGAAGGAGCTATGAACACCTGAGTTTGGGTTTCAATTGGGGGTTTGTTGCTCCTCCCCCTCGTTATTCGAGTCGTTAGTACCCACAATGGGGTTCGTTAGGGTCTTTCGTGGCTGGCTTCATCTTCCTGGGGAGTTTTTTTGTAGAACTACGAGAACAACCATGACCTGGATGACTGAGAATCTTCAGACATGTTTGCAATTTTTTTCTTTATTTAACTTTTCTGTGGCACTGTTTGCTTTCTGGCTTCTATAACTGGTCCCTGATCAGTGACTCTCAAACATCTCCAAACGTGATTTTTTTAGTTGTCCCCCTGCCCCACATATCACAGCAGACCTGTGGATCACAACCTCCAGTGGGCTACGTATGACAGCTGCTACAGCTCCAGTGCCTTCTTCAGAATTAAGGTATGGGGTTGGTGGTAAGGTGTTGTGTCTTGTGGCAAAGAGGTGTCAGGAGGAAGTGCAGAACTATTCTTTCCTCTCAGACCTCTTGACATACAAGACGCTGGAAGATTGTCGGCCTCATGCGAAGCGAACGAAATGAGAGCCAGCACCTCCTCCGTCAGAAGTCGGTGGGTTGCTCCCACTGCGAAGGAGTCTTTGAGATCTTGTTCACGAATGATGGAAAAACCAAAGCGTGGGACGCACATGTGCAGCATCAGCAGTCATGCAGATGTTGTACCAAAGTGCTGTGGTGAAGAGGAAGCTGAAACCAAGAGACGAAGATGTTTTACGAATCAGTCTTCACCTGAAGCCATGAGCTCTGAGCAGAGGCCCAAGAGAACGAGATACAAACAAGCAGGATGTCTGGCCTCAGCCTAACAGATATGGTGAGCAGCAGAGATGCTGCTGAAAGGAACCAGCTGAGGTGGTTCAACATCTGATTAGACGCCTCTCTTTGGAGGTTTTCCAGGCAACTGGGAGGAAACCTAATGGACTCTCTGGAGGGATTATACATCTCATCTGACCTGGGAACAGCTAACTGAGGAGAGGAGCTGATTAGCTGCCATTACTGCAATCCAACCCTTGATAAGTGGAAGAAAACGGACGGACGGTTATTTAGGAAGGTTTTGCTCCCACATTCCAACCAACAGCAGCTTTAAGTATTAAACTATCAGTGACACCAACATGTGGAGAAGCTGCATTTCTTTCACACACAAACCAGCCTTCACTGTGACCCCAAATCATATTTAAAAAAAAGTATTTTCTAATTTCTAATGACCTAGTTTGTGGTTATGGCATGTAATCGGGTCGAGAACATGCGGTTTTAAGTATCTCGCTATTGGATGGCGTAGCAATTAGCGACATGTGAACCACAGCATGCAGCTGTGCTTTATCATATCGGGCTATCTTTCTGTTTTCACAAATGAACTTGAACATCTTATCATTAATCAATTCTGCCACTCTTATCTGTACCCTGAAATACGTTCTAAATACAGCTGAGTCTAGATTCAAAAGAAAAACAGCAATATAGTCAGAAATAAGAGCATCAGCACCGTCACAAGTCTGACTACATGTGTGTAAAATTGCTGCATAAAGAGTCTGAGTCATAACTAGTGAGGCAGCAGTCGACAGGTTGTGGTTGAGACGCTGAAACAAGGTTCAAAATACAACTCTGTGAAAGTTCAGCTGTTTAAGTGTTCTTAGATTTTAAATTATAACCTGGCTGTGCAACAATTAAATACGATTCTAGAGAGTTTGCATGCAAACGTTCATGCAAAACAAAAAAAAAATAGACATATGAAGTAGAGGACAAGTCAAGCAGCTTGAAGCCACGATGCATCTGCAGGCTGCACAAACATGCACCCAGTCCTGAGGTTTAAGAGTGATGTTTCATAGAACCGGCCCTCCCCCACCTCCTCACACTTTCTTCCCCCTTACTGCGAAGCGCTGACCACAGGGCCGCAGCCTGTTTACACGCCGGCTTGGTTTCAGGTGTCGGTCCGCCTCATGTCATGGAACAAATGTCACAATAAAAGGCGTGAGAGGAGACAGACGAGCTCGCAGAAGCAAACGCAACGATGATGATGAAGATGAAGATCGCCCTGGTGGCCTGCGTCCTGCTCGCCTCGTCGCTCACCTTCGTGGCGACTAACAGTAAGACTGTTTTCTGTCATAGTGGGTTAATGTTACACCAGAGGATCAACTATATGGGACTGATGAAAAGAAAAAAATAAAACAAAACAAAAACAGGCTGCTGAAGATGAAAAATGAGAAAAACGCAGATATTGTTGCTATTTACAAATTTTCTGTTTACGTGGTGCAACTTATGGAATTAGTTATTACAGTTAAATGCAGATATTTGGTTTATTTCCTGCTAAAATGTTTTCTGTATGTTTAGTTTTGTATTTTTGAGACGTGCAGCTACATGTGGTTCAGGAAATATCACCAGTTATTATTATAAATGTTAATTATTGTCAAAGATGAGACTTTTTATGACGGCTTCAATTGTTCAGTCAATAATTTAAACAAAGATTGAGCTTAAAGCTATAAAATAGTCTGTAAAAATTTTAAAAATTGAGAAAAAAGTTGAGTTTTTGTGGTACAACTTGTCATAGCTGCTCAATCAAATGCAGATATTTAGTTTATTTCCTGTTAAAATGTTCTTTATATGTTTAGTTTTGTATGTCTGAGACGTGCAGCTACATGTGGTTCAGGAAATATCACCAGTTATTATTATAAATATGAATTATTGTCAAAGATGAGACTTTTCATGACGGCTTCAAATTGTTCAATCAATAATTTAAACAAAGATTGAGCTTAAAACTAAAAAATAGTCTGTAAAAATGAAAAAAAAGGAGAAAAAAAGTTGAGTTTTTGTGGAACCTGCTCAAATAGCTCAATGAAAATAACTTTTTCTAATTTTTTTTGATGACGTTTTTCATTTTAGAGTATTTTCTATGTTTAGTTTTGTATTATTGTGACCTGAAGCTACATGTGGTTCAGGAAATATCACCTGCTGACATTCATGACGGCTTCATTTTCTTTCTTTTTGTATTTCTCTTTTGATTTTTAGTCAGAGATTATTTGATCTATTTGTCTGATACTGTAGATTCAGAATCAATGAAATGATGAGAAAAAAAACAATTCCTGAAACAACTGAATATCACTTATTTTCTGTCATAGTTGGTTAATATTAGAATTTAAGATCAATAAAAACCTAACATTTTTTCCCTTTTTTTGTTAATACGTTTTTTTGACGGCATCAACTTTTAATTTTTTAAAAATTTCAACTCACCCATACTTACTTGTCCAATATTACAGGTTCAAAATCAATGACTTGACGAGAAATAACAGGAAAAAAATATTTTTTTAAATCTTTAATAGTTCCTGAAATATTATTGTCGCAACAGCACGTGAGAGGAAACCTGCTGAAAGTGGGTCAACGGGCGACTTAAAGAAAAAAATAAAAAAGTTTATGTCACAAAGTGTTTGAAACATGAAACTAAAATTTCACAATTACCTTCAACAAGTGTCCATATGTTGTTCCATAAAAATGTGATGATTTGAGATGGAATGAGTTTGTTTGAATGTCAGCTTGTCTCTCGATTAAACCGTTTTCAGGCGTTTTGTTTTTTTTTATAAAGTCCTGAAACAGCACAAGCATGACTAGAAGTAGACAGAACTCAGAAAACATAAATTGTACTATTTTAAAAAATGATAAAGAAAGTTAATTATTATTATTATTAGTTGTATTAAATATTTAATAAACTGATATCAACATTTTCCCGAGTGTCCACAAGTATTCCCAGCGCCGGCTCTGCAGTCGTTCTCAGATGTGTTCACAGCCTCCCATTAAAGAAGGAAAACAAAACAGCTTCAGTCACTGGAATAAGTTGAAATTGACAAAATTAATAATAAATAAAAATTTAATGAACATCATGACATTGCTTTGGAATTGCAGTTCAACAGAAATATATAAAGAAAAAAAAAAAAGAAGCAAACCAGCCTGATGGGAACCCTGAACTGCCATCTACCCGAACAACCCTCTGAGCCAATCACTGCCATCAGGTGTTTCCTGTAACTCTCAGTCAGACTTGTGCACCTGTTGACAGGTGTTCTGGACCACTGCTCATCAGCAAAGGCCTCTAATTTTTATTTGTTTATTTATTTTTTTAATTATTCTCTTCAACCACAATTGAAAAGCAACGTCTTATTTCACTGAATTATAATTTAGCAAATTTTTATTTATTATTACTTTTTTCAGTTTCTAGTTATTTGAGTGACTGTTGTGAGTTTTGCCTTTTCTTTAATGGAAGGAGATGAATACATGTGAGGACGACTGAACATGTTGTCGGGATTAAAGATGTTCCACCATCAGATGTAGAAAGATGTTCCACCATCAGCTGGATGTATCTCCACCAACTGTCTCCTCTGTTCTCTGGTTCTGATCCGTGCTGCATTTATCTATTGATCCAGTAGGTTTAGAGATTTTCCTCTCAGGCTCTCTGAGGAAGCACTGGCTGCAGTTCAATCTAATAATCACTAATTTTTTTGTTTTTGTTTTTACCGTTTCAGGCTCTGATAGACGAGGTGATTTTGGTGTAATCTTTTTAAAGAAAATCTTTCTGTTCTGTCTCCGTTTCAGGCGGCTTTGGTCCTGATCAGTGCTGTTTCAAATTCTTGCCAAAACCCGTGAGCAAGGACAGAGTGGTGGCCATCAAAGCTACAGAGAAGCTGTGTGCGATGGAAGGCGTCCTGTACGTAACCTTCAGCCGACGTTCAAATACACACAAAATGCTGTTTTGTGCAAAACCTACAAAACCAAAAGTCGACCACAGTTACTTGGTCTAATCGTCAAATGAACTTAAAAGCACAATTTTGAAATGTCATGAAAAAAAAAAAAAGTTTCTGCATTAGCTGTTTGGGACTAAACAAACGCGGCTGTCCAGTTTGGCCAGACGGTGGCGCTAGAGGCTGCATTAGCTGCAATTAAACAGAGAAGAAAAAGCCTGAAACAAGAAACTAACTACACTTTGTTCAGTTTTGTGTGGAAGACAAATAGTTTTAAATCAGTAAGATTATAATCTTTACAAATTTGCTCATTCACTTTATATCTTTAGTATTTGACACTCTATGAGGCATTTAGTTTTATTCATAGTATATTTTCATTTTTTTGTGCATTTTGAATCTCAATTGTGGCGGTGTCCACTTTACTCTTTCTGCTTGCTGCTGTAACCAGAGTTTCCTGTTAGAGATCAATACAGTATTTCTATTCTATTCTATTCTATTCTATTCTATTGTACTAACGTAACCCACTTTATAGTTATTATCTGTTATAGATGTTTACATATAAACAACAAATCTACACTTTGATTAAAACTAACAATCAGAAATTACCTCATTATTTTAAAAGTACATTTGTAAAAACAAACCACACTGACAGTTGCTTCAATAATTCTTCTGTCTGTTCCAGCTTCAGGATGAAGAAAGGCGCCGTATTCTGTGCGGACCCGAACGCTCAGTGGGTCAAGGACATTATGGAGGCCAAAGCAAACGAGCAGGCCTCAACTCCGGCTCCATCTCAATAGTGAACCTGAGACAGATGCCGGCACAACGAATCAACGCTTTCTCTGTTTTTATACGGTTCTCCAATGACTTCTCTATACGATATAATCTCTTCCTCTCTTTGTGTGAGCTGCTTTTATATTAAACCGTCTGATGGAATAAAAAAAACCAACGAGTTCGTCTTGATTGACGCGATGCAAACTTGTTGACGTCGTTCATGTGTCACATGACAGTGAGATGTTGGAGCTCGTGTGGTTTGCAGCTGATGAAGCCACAACGTGTGCATGTTTAGGTGCACGAAACAGATAAATGTGCAGAAATCGGCCACAAAAATCTGAATCGTGTGCAGCGGTGGATAAAGAATTAATCACTAACACCACACTGTGAGTCACTGCGTTGAAATATTAAGAAAAATATGAGAGTAGCATCAGAAATAAGACTTAAAATATAAACAAATAAAAGTTTAAATGCAGAAAAACGGCCCCCGTGATGGTGTTTGATATTTTATTACTCATGCAATAATATAAAACCAGGTTTATTTTCCTTATAAACACACCTGCTGGTTATTTTCTTTGTTGTTTGGTTTGTATACGTTGTGAAAATGTCATTTTAACGTACGTCACAATCTGTACATTAAAATTATTAAAATATTCAGACGGAAAACAGCAAATTTGAACATTTTTAGTTGGAATAAAGAAATGTTTGTGCACAAGAAAGTGTTTAAACGACGACCAGTTAACCCAGTTAATGGACTCATGGTTTCAGTTGAACTTTTATCATCAGGTCAGTTGTTTTATTTGCAGTAATATCACACTTTTAATTCATTACAGTTGTAAATCTGTCATGTTGGGATAAATCTGCCAAACAAAGATCCTCCAGTTGAGTAAAGTCTCACCGTCGGACCCTGTTTTCTACTAATTTATGATTAAACACAATATTTTACAAGTTCTTTGTGTGTTTTCAGTGCAAAAAGCGGAATTCATAAAGTAAATAAAGCTGTCAGGTGAACATAGTGCAGTTAAAAGTTCAATATTTCCATCTGAGATGCAGCAAAGTGATGAAAAAAAAAAATCAAGTACAAGTTTAATGTAGTTTTACTCGAGTATTTCTGGTTTCTGCCACTTCCTCCTTCCACTCTGCCACATTTCAGACTGAGATATTCTACTTCCTGCTCCATTACATTCATCTGACAGCTTTTGCAAGATGCAGATTTGACTAAATTGATCATTTAACAAGATTTAAAACTAAATAAACACATTTCAGACGTCCAAACTGTGTTCTTTTTCCTTTAAACTTCTCACTAATTTCAATAAATGTTCCAAAAAATCTCAGCAAAAAAATCTAAGATGAGTCAAAAACTGACAACAATCTCCAGTTAATCCTGTTTTAGTCTCAGATTCAGCCCTGAATATAAAACTGGATTTAAAGTCGTTTAAACCTGCAGCAGCAGCTTCACTGTTTATTACCTAAAAGGAACCAAAGCAGGACTTTTACTGCGATGCTTTAATCATAATTCACTGTGATGTACTTCTACTTGTGTTTTTACTCGTTTAGTTTTTGCATTTTAAGGATTATAAGGATCTAGGAACCTCCTCCAACACAAAGTGCATCAGTTTCCTACTTAAACAAACCTACTTCTCTACTTCTGATGCCCTGAATTGGTTGTTCAGCGTCTCTTAACCAGCAGATGGCGCTCTTCTCCATCGTTTACATCCTCCTGCTGCTCTGACAGCTGCAGCCACACAAAGAACAGTTTCATCTCATCTCTAATTACACTCTCGACAACTTCAGAGCTGCTAAGAATAACATTCAGACCCTCCCAGAAGTCACACTTTCTGGCCGGTTCGCCTCCCGGGGCTCTTACTTTGTAGGAAACTTCAAAATAAACTGACCTGGAAATCTGCCTTCGCCCCCGAAAACGAAACCTCAAGTGACGTCACCGTCCGGCTGTCTTTAAATAGTTCCAGACCCAGATTTGTTTTAACCTTCACACTCGAGTGTTTCTCTCTAAAAAAAAACCCTCCACTGACTCACAGGTGAGCCGTCTGGTCGGATCAAGAAGCACCTCGCTGCACAAACGTACATGAAACCAGGTGAAAGTCCAGCAGGGAGACTCGCAGCAGACACGAGTCGTTACAGCGAGTGTCCAGCGAGTTGGGGGATGAATATTAAACGTCACACGTCAGCCTGCTGCCGCCGTGAAAACAGTCGCTCACGACACCGACCGGGGAGTTCTGGAGATGTTCTGTTACATCTACAAACAGGTCGAGCCAGCGTGACCCACCTGAGCAGAGAGAGAGCAGGTGGAAGCAGACGGAGGGTTCAGTCAGTAGACGGAGTCAGAGTGTGACTAGATTAGTGTGAAAATGCTCATTAGGAGCTGGAATATGTCAAAGTCACTGCATTTAAAACCTCCGTTGAGTGAAGTCATACGAGTGTTATCAACGTTTTACCAACGTTTGAGCTGCATTTTATTACTTTTTACATTTTCTGGTGGTTTAAAATTCATCATGTTTATCTTCAAATATTGAAGTGGCCCCAATAAATAAAGTATCCATCCATCCATCCATCCATCCATCCATCCATCATCCATCCATCATCCATCCATCTATCATCCATCCATCCATCCATCATCCATCCATCCATCCATCATCCATCCATCCATCCATCATCCATCCATCCATCATCCATCATCCATCCATCATCCATCATCCATCCATCATCCATCCATCCATCATCCATCCATCCATCCATCATCCATCCATCCATCATCCATCATCCATCCATCTCCCCATCCATCATCCATCATCCATCCATCTATCATCCATCCATCCATCCATCATCCATCCATCATCCATCCATCCATCATCCATCATCCATCCATCCATCATCCATCCATCTCCCCATCCATCATCCATCCATCTATCATCCATCCATCCAGGCTGCAGCCAAGTAGGTACAAACTGAGTGGAAGCAGGTAACACAGTGTACATTTACAAAGTTGTGTTGTCTTAAATTCCACATTAATTACATTTCTGTTTAATTATTACAGTTTCCAACCTGTTAAATGACAGCAGGAGGCATTAAACATTCAGCGCTGAAGCTCGCTTTAGTTTTTATCTGTCATTAGAGAAAAATAAAAAGACAAAAGCTGCTGTTTTGGAGAAATTCTGAATTATTATTATCATTATTATTATTATTATTATTATTATTATTACCACAACCGTTTATGTGTAAATATGTGCAGAGACACTAAAACACTTCCTGAATTTTTTATATACATATATAAGAATAACAATACAACTACTAATACTAATACGAACACTAACACTAATACTAATAATAGAATATTTTTTCTTATTATTGTCATGTTATTATTGCTACCACCTCCATTTATGTGTAAATTTGTACAGAGACATTAAGATTCAGTGACTTTGAGCTGAAAACAAAGCTCCTGCTGCTTTTAACTCAACGACAGAAGAATGTTTGTTCGCTCGGAGCTTTGATAAGACTCGGGCGGGGAATTCACGCGGCGTCCTGAGCGACGAATAGAAGGAAAAACAAGAAAAAGGCAGAAACGGGAGTGGAGGCGAGGACGGAGATGAAAGGTGAGGGAGAGGAGAGAGTCGCCGTGGTGACCAGTCAGAGGTGAGCAGCACAATGGGATGCCGACAGGAGGCCACACGTACATAAATAACGCTGTGTGATGTCAGCTTGTCCTGACAGATGGGATCGACCTAAATTAGGCCCTGAGAGAAGCAGCGAGGGCGTGAACCACGAGTCACCGAGTGCAAATGATATGTTTTAGCAGCACCAGTGTGACAGCAGGAGCCACGAAGGAACCGAAGAAAAGCCAGAGACGCTTCATCAACAGCAAGAAGTCGGTTAATGTTTAGGATCTGCTGCTGCTGCCGAGGAACAATCAGAGACCTTCTGCTACTAAAGACACTTTGAATACATCAACGTGATCAGAGTTAAAGAAACAGACGAGTTTGTGCTCGTCAGCTGAACACATCTGTAAAGTATGAAGAGGAAAGCCAGCATTAATGTTCTGTAGGCGTTCAGGAAGCTTGTTGTAGCGCTCCAGTAACGTTCCCACAACATTCGCTAACGTCCCCTACAAGTTCCAATATGTTCTTAAAGAAAAATGTTCAAGTCAAATGTTTAAAAGAACGTTTTGAGAACATGTTTAGTTCCAGTAATGTTCTGATGAAGCTGATGTAACATCAGGAAGACATCCGAGATAAACAAATAAACTGTGAAAATGAATCAGGCAGCAAAGGTGCCAGAAAATTATATTATATTATAAAATAATATTTGTAATTTATTAAAATGGTTAAAATATTTTCTTCTTGTTGATTTAAATAAAAATAATTGTGTAATTTTACAGCAACATTTTGTAAAAGAATGAATATAATCAATAAATGATAAAAAAAAAACAATTACATTAAAACCTAAATATACATTTTACAGTTATTTAACAATTTTTTAAAAATGTAAATGATAAATTAATATTTTTTTCTGATTTTACTTGATATTATTTCTAATTTTACACAACAAGGAAAATCTGTTAAATAATCTGAATAATCTAAAAAAAAAAAAAAGAGGCTAAAAACTGATTAATTTTTTGTTTTTTACTGTGAGTACATAAAGGTGAGATCCTTCCTTTATGCTGAACAAAAACAACAAATTGATTTATTTATGTGTGTGAACGTTTTAATTTGTGTTGGTGATTGTTAACATAAAATAAATACCTGCACACCTCGATAAATCATCTAAAGTGGCAAAATATTTTTAAAAAATAGGCCATTACAAATGATTAAAAATGATGAGTATTGACTTAAATTAAACATTTTATCATTATTAATTCTTTTGCCGTATCATCCAGCCTCAGTCAGGACCATGAATCACACAAACACACATTTAGAGGTTTATCAGCCCTGAAACCTCGAAATGTCACTTTAAGACACAACTTTCCCGCCAGGTTGCCATGGCGATAAGCATCAGCGCACACGCCGCGTGCCTTTGGCTGCACAATCCGACGATGATGCCGATGGAGTTCGTCCGTCCAGATTTGTCAGAGACGTGATAACGCTGTTTTGCATGACAAAAAAAAACCGAGTTAAACCGCCTCGCTGTGCCGAGTGCCGGAGATGAGAAGGAAATTAAAAAGTGGGGATTGAACTGGAATTGAGTGGGAAGAGAGAAGGAGCAACAAAAAAGAGAGAGATGGGTATCTTTTGTATAATTACCTACAGCTTCGCGGGTTGCTAGGAAACCGGAGGAGCAGAAGAAGATGAGACGGACAGAGAGGCGAACACAAAAGGCTGAGATTAATTTCAGGGCTGCACACATTTTAACTGGAGTGTTTAACGCGAGCTGACAGATTGTAGAAGAAGTCGTAGTAGTCGGAGGGAGGAGGGTGAGGAGGGTGAGGACACAGAAACATATGTCTGATCTTTAGGGGATGGATGCATGAATAATTACTGAGATATTGACACTGGCTGTCTCTTCATCTCTGTTTTCTGGCGTCCTGACCGCCCTGCCCTTGTTTCCTCCTTTTATCCTTCAGCCACTCGTGTTCGTTTTTTATTCCTTATTTCTTCCTAATTTTCTCTGCCTTATTGTCTTTATTTATTTCTTTCACACCCATGAATCTGGTTTTATGTTCACCAGGATGCACAACAGTCAGGTCTTAGCCTTATAATATCACAGAATCATTCGTCTATCACCTCCTGCTCACGTAAATAAAAGTAAACGAGCTGCGTTACAACATGTCAGCATCGATCTGCAGAAATCAAACCTCCAAACTCGAAAACCTGCCATGTGGTTTGGATATCTTTTTAAAAATCACCAATTACACGATTTATCAGAGTCAGAAACAATGAAAACAGAAAGAAGAAATGCAAAATTCACCGAAAGTAAGCTCAAAATTGTGAAATTTCATCAAAATCACTGCTTAACATGTGTGTCATTTATGAAAGCACTCACCAGAGCAGAAAAAAGACGACAAGAGAGACTGAGAGGAAACTCAAACCTACTGGATCAATAAATAAACACAGCACGGATCAGAACCAGAGAACAGAGGAGCCAGTTGGTGGAGATACATCCAGCTGATGGTGGAACATCTTTCTACATCTGATGGTGGAACATCTTTCTACAGCTGGACTGAAACTTAATGACTCAAAAATGGTCATTTTGCGTCATTTTGATTGAGTTTCAAGTAATTGTGGACAGTATTTGAGATACAAGATACATTCATTATGGTGAAACGTGAGCACAGGAGTGCAAACTCTGTAAATATAACAGTTTACGTGTCACTCAGCTCAATAACCAACATGGCAAAAAAGGATTAGGAGGAAAATAAAATGAGTTTGATCGATAAAATTTGTGTGGCATGGCTTAAAATGGTATACAGAGGAGAAAGTTGTTGGAAGATACGTTCAGCATGGTGAAACGCAACCTTAAGATTGGAATAACTGTGCAAAAGCTGTTTGCATATCCTAAAAACCAACGTGGCATATGAGGGCTGAGAGGAAAACAAAATGTAGTTGATGCATGCATCATGGTGAAACATGAGCACAGGAGTGCAACCTTTACAAAAAAAGAAAAAAATAAAGTTTGCATATCACTCAGCTCAATAACCAGCATGGCAGCATGGTTTATTAGGATCAGGAGGAGCATTTGATCGATAAAATGAATGCGGCTTAAAAGAGCAGCAAGTAGTTGGAGGATAATAGTAATAATAATTAATAATTGATCAGACTTATAAAGCGCTTTTCTGGGCACTCAGAGACGCTTTACACGGTCAATTATTCATCCACACACATCCATTCTGGTGGTGGAAGCTACGGCTGTAGCCACAGCTAACAAAGACCCTCTGACCACCACCTCACACCAGTGAAGTGTCCTGTCCAAGGACACAACGACCATGACACAGGCTACAGGGCGGAATCGAACCGCCGACCTTCAGATCATTGACCAACCCGCTCTACCACCAGAGCCACAAGATACATTCAGCATGGTGAAACCTCAGCCTAAGAGTGTAAAGAAAGAAAGAAACAAAGCAGCTGCACATCACAGATCATTAACCAGCACGACGTATGAGAATGAGGAGGAAAATAACATGTAGTTGATCAATGAAATAGATGCAGCACGGCTGAGAACCAGAGAGCAGAGCAGCAAGTAGGTGGAGATACATCCAGCATGGTGGAACATCTTTCTACATCTGATGGTGGAACATCTTTCTACATCTGATGGTGGAACATC